GTGCATAAACAACTTACCATGATGAGTTCTGGTCATGTTTAAATTATTACTGTGTAATTAGGTGTTACATTTTAAGTAAAGAAGTAAACACATTATTTTTTATATTTTGGATGTAACAAAACAAAAGTAAAAGTTCCAATTTGTAAAAATACTTTCTAAAATGACAGATCCTCACAGAAATGATTTAAGTACACCTCTACAAATAACCAAGAAAAATTAAATACTTTGGCCTAAGTAATAGGATAATGGCTGTATTGACTCATTAATACACTGTAATCTATTTTTTTTTCTAATTCAAATATGTAAAAGACAAGCAACACAACTCCTTCAGCAAAGACAAACCTGCTTCTGAGAAACAACAAACATAAAGTTAAGATGTTTAATTGTTCATTAAAGCAAAAACGTCGCCTTAGAAAGAAAACAGATGGAATTTAGCTGCTGTGCTAATTCCAGTGTTTATATATATATATAAGCAAATTTTCATTGTTTCATACACAATCCATATGACAGGTTTCATCATAAATCAGAAAAAAAAATGCTTACTTTGAATAATAAATTACACGTTTGTTGCTGTTTTCTTGATTTTCTCTTTGTTCCTGCCTCTTCAGGTCGAGTGTATCCGTGGGGGAACAAGTTCCAGCCCAACAGAACCAACCTGTGGCAGGTGAGACTCGTGATGAACTGGAACTACAACCTTGTTTGCCACTGGTTTCTCCAAACAATCCTCTCAGGTTTTAGGATACAGTAAATAAGTTTATTCTCTGTACCAGTGAAAAGAAGAATGGATACAGTTGATAAATGGACACTTTGGACTGTGTCTGTTTCAGGGAACTTTTCCAGACGCAGACGCTGCAGAGGATGGATACCACGGCACCTCTCCTGTCACAGCGTTTCCTCCTCAGAACAGCTACGGTAACTGCCTCAGCTCGATTTAAAGAACGACTGAGACGTTTGAGCAACAATAAAGATGGAAATAAAATCTAATTTATTACCTTTAGATTGATACAAATATCTGACATGGCTTAAATAYAGATTTAAGATTGTGTTTTGTGTTGTTTTGTTTTCCCTGCAGGACTGTACGATATGATGGGAAACACGTGGGAGTGGACATCCACGCGTTTCCCGTCGGCGCAGCCGATGTACGTGCTGCGCGGCGCCTCCTGGATCGACACGGYGGACGGATCGGCCAATCACAAAGCTCGAGTCACGACCAGGTGAGGGCGCTGAAWTGGAAGCTGTAGTTTTGTCACGGGGAGGAACGCGTGAAGCCGGTGTGGACTTGACGGTTGGGATTCTGTGCCCTGCAGGATGGGCAACACCCCTGACTCCGCCTCCGATAACCTGGGATTCAGGTGTTGTGCGAGCCAGGAAGAAGAACAACACACGAGGCAAGACAAGGACGAGCTATAGCTGCTTATCATGACCTCTAAGTCGATGAGAAATAACGGGTTAATTTAAAAGGAATGCTTGTAACGAAGGGTTGATTGAATGACAGAGGAGAGAAAAGGCTAATTGGGGCAGATCTTTATGCTTCAACAGAAACAAAACTTCTTTTCTTGGTTTTTGGAAAAGATCCAGTTAGTTTCTATTGAGACACTTAGAACAACTCTGGCAGGAAGGCTGTGAATGTAGCACAAAAATAATTCATTTCCTTCTGTGGAGAACTTTATTTTGAAAGTTACTTGATAGAAATAAAGGCATGGAATGCTGATTTTAGACAAATAATAAACTGAGTGTTGTGCATTGGATGGATTCACTCAACAGAACAGGGACACTCAGCCTGCATTGATAGTCATCTGGTTGTTTCTCTTGAGTTTAGTTTCGTGACTTGGGCACAGATCATTGCATCACCCGGCCTTGACCTCCTGTTTACGTTGGTTTGCTGGAATCAAATTGTGGGATTCATTCTGAGAAGCTTAATCTAGACTGCAGTTTTTGATTCAGTAACCCAGGGCCTCTCTGTGTGTTCTCCAGAAATCCTTTATGTTCAACTTGACCACACAAGTGGGTTTTAAGAACCCAGCGGAGGAGTGGAAAGTTTTCACTGGCGATGACAATGTTTTCTTTATTTCTTTTGTAAGCMTTTCAGAATAAAAGGCAACAGTGTTTAAACTTATCTGTGTAAAAAGAAGAAGTGTTTTGGAACAATGATGTGAATGAATTAAAATGGCTTGAACTTATATAGCGCTTTATCAATTCCATACAGACTCCAAAGCGCTTCACACTTCAAACATTCACCCATTCATACACACATTCACACACTGATGTGAATTTGTGATGCACTCTATAGTTTTATTTTAATCTGAAACTGTTGTGTGGTTCCTGTTTTTAGTTTTTTTTATTATTTTTATTGTGGAATCACATTTTTAATAAATATTTTTTATGCTTCACTGGTGGCAGCAGTGGTTAATTTTGCATGCTAATATATATCCATCCATCCATCCATCCATCCATTCTGTTCCGCCTATCCGGGGTCGGGTTGCGGGGGCAGCAGCTTCAGAAGGGAGGCCCAGACCTCCCTCTCCCCAGCCACTTCTTCCAGCTCCTCCGGGG